TTCACGTATTATAATGACTTCTAGAGTGATTTTTGTATATAAAAATGAAAATCAACTAATGATCATTTGGTTAGCTCTAGGACCAAAATTCCATCTTCCATTCTTAACACACCTTTATATTCACTAGATGAAGATTGCCCGTGCTATCGCACGGACCCAACATATTAAGCATTCTGCTTGTTTTTCTCGAAGTGTTCTAGTGCCAATGGAATAGTGTTCCATCTATAGATAAGAAATTGGACTATCATAACTAGCAAACTTTTCGATGTATTATACAAAATGGTAGGATGCTACAATATCTGCAAAAGAGGACATAAAAAGAATCAACAAATTTCCCATAATAAATTTGAAAAATGTGTATCTTCAAGTGAAGCAACCCGTCAAGAGTAAGCAGAAGGGTACTGAAACTGTTGAAAAAGGAATATTAGAGAGATTATATATGATGTTACGCTTTGAGTATATGAATGAAGCAAATAAGCATTGAAGCTCGGACATGCCACAATTCATATCCTTTTCATGGAGAGCCGCGCTCTTTCAATCAGCTTTTTACTCTGTTTTTTCATTAAGTCAACAGACATGCTCCATCTTTCACATTCTTCTCAGCTCTACTAAGCTTAGCCTGAAAAGTTGGAGGAAAAGAAAACAAAAGACTTAGAAATGCACATGCCTGTCTATGGATCCTAAACTGATCTCTTGATTCCTCAAAATTGGCAACTCCTAATAACAAGAATCCATCTCGCTAGATGATAAATCAAACATTATTTCAAGGTAAGACTCATTGAAAGAAACCTGGCATTATTTCAAGGGCAAACTCATTTAAAGAAATCGGGCTTAAATCATCCAATATTCACCTCCTTAGGGACATGATCTTCAAATTGTTTTAACAAGAGATAACTTAGTTAAAGCAGATGACCAAGATTGGGGTAGTATCGATGCTACAAGAGAATTTTCTTGACTTTACTTTTCTTTCCCTGCGAAGGGACCACAATGTGATCTCTTTCTGGACTGAAGTTGCAGTAAGAATTGTGTCTACGTAACAGAACAAAAGATATTTAGTTGCTGTAGCTGGTAGTGCATACAAAAAAAGTACGAATCATCTGCTAAGTATTGTATTAGTGGGTAAAAGAAATTAATATACACAATAATCATGAAATGAAAAACATATTGTAATTGATTCTAATTGTGCGCGTGATAAACTTTAGAATAAGGTATTTATATGTTAGAGAAATCAGTAAAATAAAATATTCTAGATGAAACTCACCTACGTGATGACATAATTGTATTTCAGAACATCTAGTATTAGGATGTATGCCATTGCCGCTATACAAAAATTTGACAAAACTTCAATTGTCAAAGGATATATGCAAATACTTGTATGAAAGTAATATCTCTAAGTTACTCTACAATATAGTTTTGAACAAAACAAAGTCTATATAGCCATTCAGTCCATCGTTGGTAACTGATGCATGATTTTACAGACTAACTCAAAATACATAATACAAAGATCAGTGTAACCTAATATATATGTGCTATACTGATTCAATAGCAAGGGTATCCTAAACACATGAAGCCCTAACTGACAGTGACAAGAACAGGCTAGTTAAAATAGGAGGACGAAAATAGAGATATATAAGAAAATCAGAAGAAGACCAATAGAACAGTAGAAAGAACTCACAATGTAACCAGACATGAAAGAGGACGGACCTAACGAAAACAACTCTCTAGCAAGTGAGCTAACAAAATGGTACCCTATAAATGACAGGGAGTTAATCCATCGTAACAAACGAAAAAGCAAATTAAATGCAAAACCTAAATAAAGTAAAATTATTTAGTGCCCTAAAATAACCAAAACAAACTAAATGCAGAATCTGGAAGAACATAAAAGCATTTTGTACCTGTTGCAAATTTGCAGAATATGAAATAAGAATTTCTTTGTCAAGTATTGGTTATAGTCTGTGTATTGGCCTTCAGAGTGGATTTGGTGAATTATTAGCTTTAAACATATTCAGAATTAGCAAATCATATCTAAGTACAACACTAAAAAAGAATATATGTATTTACATAACTATGTCTTCGTGTGTAATCCGCCCGATAAGTAACTAAGCTCAGTGAAGCAAATGCACAAACTTCCAAATAATGAAGGACTAACTCATTTTTCATGTAAACACAGACAAACAAAATAAAATAAATCAGAATCAGAAGCAGATTAGAATTGTGGCTCAAATAAAAGAAGGTCAGATGCTCATCCCTTTTGAAATCCCCAAATTTAAAAAATGACAAAACCTTCAAATCCAAACGAAGATGGAAAATTGTCGGATAATTGACGGAAACCTAGTTTCTTTATAAGCAGTTCTCTTTGAGTTTCACAAACAACATAAACTCGAACAACAAACCAACAAGAACCCTGAAACAAAATAATCAGAGTCACCCATATGAAGGAGAAGAAATAGAGTAGTAAAACTAACCTTTCGACCATGTGATTATCATAGTGGAGCAAATGTGAAATTGAGAAAAACTCAGCAAAAACCTCAATTTTCTGTCAAAATATCACTTTATATTCCAGAAATTGGTATTCATTTATGAAAGCAAAAAGTAACGTAAAATCCACAAGGGTTAAGGGACGAAGAAGGAGAAGATGGGTGAATTTTGCAGAAAGTAAGAGGGTGAAACAGAGCAAAATTATGATGTTATGGTAAAGCTGAGCAAAATTAAGCGGTGGCAGTGAAGTGGAATATTACGTAAATAGTCTTTTTTTGAACAACAGAAATCAGCTAATTCAGGGATACAATAGGAATTTTGCCTAATATATAGAAGTAGGAAAAATACTAAATTGCCCTCCGTCGGCAAGCAGGGATGTCGACGGAGAGCTGCTTCTGCGCTCTTCTATATAGTAGAATACGTCTATGTACCCCGGGCCATGTTATACGTGCATCATCATCGTTGTCTTCCCAGCAGATTTGGTGAGCCCCATTTCTTCGTGGGGTCATGTAGTGCATCTTATGTTATATGTTTGCCATATTTTGAGGTATAGCTGGGGCCTTACTGCCGGCGTTGTTATGGCTCTATTTTGTATCTTTAGAGGCTCCGTAGACATTATGTGGGTTGTATATGGGTATTGGAAGGGTCACTGAATTATGTTGTGTTTTGGACCCTTGTTCCTTCAAATTGAAAAGTGTATGTAATTTTTTAAAAAAAAACTTACCAATAATGTAACAATTGAATCGATTTGGAAATGTTCACAAAATCTTCCTGCTGTATAGTTAATAATAACCTGCTTTCTTGATCATAATGAGTTGTGGAGAAAATGTCTGATAGGCTTGCTCAATCGGGTTCACTCGGTTGAGCGCCGGTCACGCCTCCCGAGGTCAGGGCGTGACAAACTTGCCCATATGTTGGTATAATATTTTTCTTGTATTCTTGAACCTTGATTCACTTGTGAGGGCCTCACGTGGCTTCATATGAATTAAATTGCATTCTACGGATGTATTTGGTATGAAGAAAAAAATATTCTCCTGAAAGATTTTTTTTGAAAAATAAGTGATTTTCTTACTTATTTTCTTGTATTTGGTTAGGTAGCAGAAAGTATCTTTTGAAACTATATAATTTAGGCAAACACTACAAGAGACAAGTGGATAAGGACAGGGAAGGATAGTAAGTCGGGGTGACAATGGCAAAGTTAGGGGCAAGAGGTGAGGGCAGGGTGGGGGTTAAGTGTGGGGGGTAGGGGTGGGGTGAGGTTGAGGGAAGGTGGAGAATAAGGGATGTTGAAAAAGAGTTATGAAAATATTTTCTTTCTTTTAGTAGGGAAATTATTTTCCTCAATTGGAGGAAAATAAGTTCATGAAAAAAACCAACCAAATAAAGAAAAATTGAAAAATATTTTCTCCATACCAAACACACCCTAAAGCTCGATTTTAGCCTGAATTAATTGTAGAAAATCACAGGGCCTCTCTCCTTAGCTACATCTTAACTCAATCATGCATTAAAAAAACTGCAATTCATTTTGTACAATACAGAAACTTATTGGCATCGGAAACTAAGAACAAACCAGATGACTGCTGAATCCAATCAAAACCTGTATTTTCTACCTTTCGAGAAGCCAATCTGTAGTCAAAAGTATAACCATAGTAGTGCTTATTAAGAGCAATATAAGGCTCAATTGTTGAACCTGAACAATTAGATCTCACTAAGATTACCGGCTCTAAATATCATTCAACAGTGATATGGAACGTTCAACTGCCTATGCAATTACTCGAGTTTTTAAACACTGAATATAAATAACCAAAAACTTTTCTTATCAAATGTTCAACTACTCCCAACTCTAAAAACTTTCTTGCAAGCTTAATAGAACGAAAATATCATGAGTGCAAACTTTGAATACCCACCACTTTGAAGTTGAAAATGTCTTAGAATCTTCTTGGGATAGCAAAAGGTCTTCACCTCGCACGAGAATGGATCCTCAAAATATATGCACAATGTCATATGCGAATCTTTTGCATGTCAAGGAATTACAGGAATGCATATACGATACAAGACCATGCAAGGGACGTTATGGTAAAGATACATAGAAACCACACAGGAAATACAACAAAAATATTGGCACAGCTACGGCCTCTCTCCTTTTTATTTTTATAATTTGGTTGGTTAAGAAATAATTTTCTATGAAAAAGAATTTGAGAGCACCATAAATGTTAACAAAATATCCAGTTATGTTTTTGTTTCCCACAATTCTTTTCTCAACTAAACTTATCCAAAATAATTTGTCCAAGAGGCAAAGGAAAAAGACAAAATATGGTTATTTCCTAGGGCAAAGGAGGGGAGGTAGAGCATAACATGTTTCCAACTATAACCTGATAACATCTGCATGGTCATCTCTACACGTTATCTTGTTTAAAACTTGAGAATATTGGCAAAAGACATACATGTTGGGGCGGAGATGATAAGCCAAGTACCTTCAGATAGTTTTATCAAGAGGGAATAAAATAATTCATAAATCTATTTGTCGAAAGACTACAACAGATTAGGATACGTCCAGAAGAGCACGAATGACTGCAAAGAACAGAAACGTCAAGTTAGTGTCAAATTAAGCATATGAAGCTAAATTTAAATTTTAAATTGTCATGCAAAGATAGCAAATTCCTCTCAGCAATCAAGCAGTGAAATTTGTATGCTGGATACTACCTTAGAACAAAAAGGTACAACATAGGCTACCAAGATAGAAATCAATCCCATCTCCCCAAATAATTGACGAAGATCTGTAGGAATACTAATAAACATGATTCTAACCAATAAAATATTGCTGAGATACAGATAATATGATTCAATAATTGGTTAACTGCAAGAGAAAGTTGAAGAAATAAAAGTTGAAAAGGTTTGGGAAGAATTCATAACCGAAAAAATGAATGAGAAAAATTTCCAAAAGGGTAACAAGGGAGAAAAATGAGGCAGGGTAAAGTAACATTATGATTTTGAAAAGAAAGTGAATTTTATAATATTTCTCCTGTAGGGGTGGTTGGGCAGGCAAAAGGTGAATTGATTCTTAATCAAGTATTAGAACAAACGAAAATACACAACGAAGGCATCTTATTAGAAGTACCGAATCAAAGACGTACCAAAAGCCCGCCAAAAAATCCATTAACCATGACTCTATTTCAACTGCCAAAGTAGGAGTGGATTGAAAACTTGGCCTTTGCTGTGAGTGCTACCGAAGTTATGCCATGACAAGGAAATAAAAGATAAATCCTGTCAAGCTAGTAAGTCCCAGAATGCCGGCAATGACACCACCAATGATTGCCGTGAATGTGCGGCTGAACAACATAATGGTCAATATAATTGGAAATGTCCAATGACAGGGAAAAAGCATAATAGCTCAAAAATACAAAAAGAACCCAACTTTACTTGTTCATAAATGATCAGCTGCTCGTCTCCATTCACATTTTCATTCTTCCTTCTGTTCCAATTGAATAATCAAGTATTGACATTTCTTGATACACAATTGCATCACAAAAGGTTGGTTTTTTTTTCTTTTATATGATAAGTTTATGGAGCTTGGAATTATTTTGTTGTAGAAGCAAAATAAGAAGCATAGTACCAGGACTTCCATTAGCATTGAAAACCAGTATAAACTCTTAAGTGATTCAAAAAACTACTTCTCATCGATTATTGTAACTTATAAAGGTAAAATTCATTCATCAATACCATTAAAATCTGCAGTTCTTGGTGTTAGGTATTGTCACGACCCAAACCACCCTCCGTAAGACGTCGTGACAGCACCTAGTCTCTACGACTAGGTAAGCCTAACCAATTGCAGAAATAACAAATATGGAAGTAAAAACTTAACAGCTAACTGCAACAGATAATTAAATAATCGATAACAATGTCGCTCGGCATGTAAAATAACCAACACTCTAGTAATACTCAGTATTCCCAAAACTCGGAACATCATAAGTCACAAGCTACAGAAGAAAATCAGTATCTCTATACACCAGAGTCTAAGAAAAAAAGTACGGAAGTAAATGGCATAGGAGGGAATAGAGGGGGACTCTGAGCTCTGCGGACGCGGCAGATATACCTTGAAGTCTCCAAAATGTCACTTATCACTGATGATGTGGCTGATAAGAAGTACCTAGATCTACACACAAAACATGTGCAGAAGAGTAGCATGAGTACACCACAACGGTACCCAGTAAGTGCCAAACCTAACCTTGGTCGAGTAGTGACGAGGTTAGGTCAGGGCCCACTGGTATATAATAAATAAAGTAGAAGAATATAGCAATATAATAAGAGACTGGAATTTAACAAAGAGGAAAACACAACAAAATAACAGTATAGTACACAGGGATAAACAGCAGGGGATCTCCCGAGATACTGTCTCGTATTCCCAAAAGTAAAGATGCAGGGAGATCTCCCGAGGTACCGCCTTGTAGTATCAAAAGTAGATATGCAAGGAGATCTCCCGAAGTACCACCTCGTAGTCTCAAAAGTAAAGGTGCAAAGAGATCTCCCGAGGTACCGCCTCGTATTCTCAAAAGAAAAGGTGCAGGGGGATCTCCTCAGGTAACACCTCGTAGTCCCAAAAGTAAACACACAGCTCAAACCGCTAATTACAACAATTAACAGCAATAATTCTACTGTTAAGACTGATACAGATCAAGGAAAGACAAGAAATCAACTATGCATGCTGCAAAGAGTTCAAGTAAGCAGTTAAAGCACGTAGACATGCGATATTAGACTAAACAGGATAACTACACATGGTGGTATAACTCAATTAAGATGAAAACAAGTTACTACTCTGTAAAAACAGGATTTTTACAACAATTAGCCCGCGTACGCACTCGTCACCTTACGTACACGGTGACACATAACACAATAGTACCAAATCCTAAGGGAATTTCGCCCACACAAGGTTAGGCAAGCCACTAACCTCGAACCAAGCTCAATCATTCAGTAAGAATGTCTTTTCCACGATTTTCCGATTCTGAATGGCCTGAATCTAACCAGAAGTAATTACACACCTTAAATATAACTATAATAAATTAATCTAATTAATAAAATCAAGGCTTAAGCAAGAAATTAGAAAATTATCCCAAAAAGTCGACCCGGGCCCACGTCTCGAAATCGGGTAAAAGTCACAAAATATGAGCACTCATTCACTCACGAGTTCACTCGTACCAAAATTATCCAAATCCGATATCAAAATCCAAATAAAAACTCAAAACATA